CCGCCCGCCCTCGGCACCCAGCCCTGTACCTGCTGCTCCCGTGCGGCTCTCCTGAGCGGGGCGGCCCGTCCGGCCGCGGGACTCACCGGCCCGGCGGCCGCCCCTTCTCCAGATCTTGGCAGAAGAAGCTCCAGAGAGCGTTTTTGCCAAGTGCTGCTCTGTCATCGAAAGTCTGCAGTGACTAAGGAGGGGCCGGGGGCTCGCCTCGCCCCCACCCACAGCACCGGGTGAGACGCCTCTGAGGTGAGGCCTCCGGCGTGTGCAGGTAGTGAGCCCCGAGCACCTGTGCCTCCCGGCAGGTGCCTGGCGCACCTGTGCTGGGGCCCCGCAGCCCCGCCTAGAGGCGGCGGCGGCAGCGGCTCCTCGGGGGCCCCGGACGGATTCCAGCCGCAGCCCTGACCCCTGGCCCAGCCCCCGCCCCTCCCATCTCCCGCCGGCTGGCCGCCCCGGGGGGCACTCAGAGCCAGCCTCTGCCTTGGCGGCTGCGTCCGCGGGAACCCCTGCCCCCGGGGCCCGACGGGAGCCCGCGCCCCAACTTCCCAGCAGGAGCAGCAGCATCGGGGACGGGGCAGCCAGGGGCACCCAGCGCGCAGGCTTCCCCCACAAACTGCAGCAGACATGCAGGTTTTTTTTTTTTAAACAAAAAGCACTTTATTTAACCAAAAAGAAGGGGGGAAGGGAGGGAAGATTTAAGAAAGCACAATGCACCTGCAGAAAACTATTTTATATTTGTTTTCTTAAAAAAAAAAAAAAACAAAAAAACACAAAGCAAGTAATTTCCAATCACCATTACCAGGCTTTTTCTTTTTTTTTAAACAACATCTATAAAGAACAAACATCTGCTTCAAAACTCTACAGGGGTGGGAGGCAGACAGACAGCACCCGGCAGACAAGGGGAGGTTTTGTTATCATTTATTTGTGAAGTTAAAAACGAGCGATAAAAAGTAAAAACTGCCATACAATTTTTTTTGTTTTTGTTCTCATGTTTTCAGTTTCAACCTCGTCTCGAACAGATGAAAAGACAGAAGACCAGACCAGTCCTGGGGAGGGGCGGGAGAGGGGGGGGAGGGGGGGAGGGTCCTGCCATACCGACACCTGGTCCACGGAATGTTCCAACCCTAACCAAAAAGAGAGAAGGAAAAAGAAAAGAAAAAAGAAAAACCAAAAAAGTAGCAAGAGTGACTTTTTTTCCTTTTTAAAGTTTATTTTAAAAACCAAGAGGGCCGTGGGCAGCGGGGAGATGGATGGTTCTGCCCGCAGGGGGCGCTGTCAGGGAGGCTGGGGGATAGAGATTTTTATATATATATCATTTTATAGGTTTTGTTCTGCTCTTTGTGTTCTTTACGTTCTGGGGTTTTGGCAGAGATCTAACTCTCGCTCTCCTCTAAGGCTGGCTCGACAAGAAGTCCCGAGTGTGAGCGGAAAGGGCGCGACACACCGGCGAGCGCGCGAGCCCCGCCGCCCCCGCCCGCCCCAGCGACCGCGCGAAGAGCCCCCAACAGAACAAATGGAGAAAAATAAAGACTTTCACAGATGAAGTTCACATTCATTCGATCACTGAGCCTGCGGAGAGGGAGAGACAGGACGGTCACGGCGGCGGCGGCGTCACGGGCACACGCCGCAGGGGAAGGGGTTGCCGGCGCTCCCCACTAAGGCAGGATGGACGGTGGCCGGGGGTTGGAAGGAGAAAGGAGGAGGAGGAGGGTGGCAGTTCCCACTTGCCTGCTGCTGTCCCTGCTGGGCGGGCGGGGGCTGCGGGCCGCCGGGGCCGGGGGTCTGTCCGTAGTAGGCGGCCTGCTGTCGGTAGTACTCCGCCCAGGCGGCGCTGTAGTCCGGCTGCGAGCCTGGGGGCGCTCCCGGGCCCCCACCGGTGGCCACTTGCGCTGTGGGCGGGCGGAGGGTGAGCGGCGCGGGCAGGGCGGCCCGCCCCCACGCCGCGGGCCCCGGCTCACCTTGCTTCTTGTAGTACTCCTCCCAGGCCTTCGTGTAGTCCTGCTGCGGG